GTTGTCTAATGTTTTAGTTTTGTGTTTCATAAGTTAGACCCATGTTCCTCGAGTGTATATTGAGAAAATAATATAATTCAAGTCATTTCAACGAGTTAAGATATTATATCAACAGGTTACACAATAGAAATTTTAGTTAAAAAATGATTCAATAGAAAAGTTCAACTGGTTGACATAATATGTCAACCGGTTACACCTGGGAGTTTTCAATTTTATTTGTTAGCTAATTTTACCTCATCATGTATATTGTATATATACCCTTTAGGCATCTTATGAATGAATATAATCTATATTTTACCCATAATTATACTCTCTCCAATTCACTCTCATTCTCTCCCTACCCACACTCAATTACTCAACTATTCACCAATCATATGGTTCCAAGTTCTAAAATTTAGCATCAAGAGCCTGGTTCAACCCATCAAATACCTAGTATGAAATCATGACTTCTGTCTTCAATGAAAGAATTTCTGCAAATATACATATCCTTGATGTGAAGAAGTACGAAAGATGGTGTACGGAAATGAAGGTATTGTTTGACTATCAAGATGTTCTTGATGTAATCAAGAATAATGTAAATCCTCTTGTTGAAGGTGATACTCTAGAGAAAAGAGAAACACATAAGGAATAAAAGAAGAATGATTTCAAGGTGTTGTCCTTAATTCATCAATGCATTAATACGGATAATTTCGAGAAAGTTGGTGATTGTGAATCATCAAAGCAAGTGTGGGAAATCTTGGAGAAGGAATATTCAAGGGATGGAAAGGATAAAGTTTTGAGGTTACAAACTCACAAATGTCAGCTCGAATAGATTCAAATTAAGGAGAAGGAGATCATCAATGATTTCAAGATGATAGTTACTCAGTTGGTGAACCAAGTAAAAACATGTGGATAAACAATTATAGAGCAGTATGTTATCGCAAAAAATATTGTGTTCTTTGAAGGAAATATTTGATAAAGTAGTCGTAGCGATTGAGGAATCGAAGGGTATTACGGTGATGAGAAAATAGGAGCTGCAAAGCACTCTTAGGAACTTGAGCAGAGAATGGAGGAAAGGAAAGTTGATAAGGAAAATGTGGAGATCGCTTTGCAAGCCTATTTCAACGAGAAATACAAGAAAGTGAAGGGAAAGTTGCCCTTGAAAAAAGGTAGATTGAACTTTTAGAATTTTAGTGGAAGAGAGTATCAAACTTCCAAAAACTCAACATTCCAAAAAGGTGAAAACAGTGGCAATAGGGCTTCTAGATCAAAAAACTCTATATGAGGTAATGTTAGAGGTAAAGGAGGTAGAAAGATGGTTGAAAAGAATAGTGTGAAGTGCTATAAATGTCGAAAGCTTGGTCATCTTTCAAGAGAGTTCAATGACAACAAGAAAGAACCTCAAGAAGTTGAAGTTGGAGTTGCTAGACAAGAGTTTGATGATGAGAACACACTCTTGGTCATGATTATAGAAGGAGAATGCATCAGCAGCAGGATGCAAGACAATAACAACATAAATTTGAAAAACATAACAAAACTAAAGCGTAATTGGTTGCATTTTTATGCTAACCGGTTACACTTTGAAATAAGCAGTGCATTGCAGCGATTAATGGTATTTGGACTCCATGTGTTCAATTCATATGATGTAGAGGAAAGATTAGTTTGTTACAATTAATTGTGTCATGAAGAACATAGTGAAGTTCGCGGATGATACCACTCTAACGACGAAGAAATCACTGATGTATTGATCGAGAGAATGGATGGTAGTCCTTCTTTGATGAATAATGTGTTGTATATTCTCATAATCAAGTGTAATATTCTAATTATTGACCAATTTCTTGATAAGGATTACAAGATTCATATGGAGAGCAAGGTGTTACACCTCATGGATGCAAACAGGGTTTTGCCCTAAAAGTTTATATGGCTCCCAATAGAACTCTCAAGGTTGAGTTGAAGGTTTTGGAACATGGGTATATTTCTAAAGGGGTTAGTAGAAAAGAGTGGATATGAAACTATAGTCTTGGAGATCTTAACTTTTGAGATCTAAATGCCTTGCAAAAGAACGTGATGGTGACGGGGATTCAATTGATCAACATAACGGCTGAAATTTGTGAAGAATGTATGCATGTGAAGAAATATAAGGGAAAATATCGCGAGGAAGCAGGTTATAGAACCAAGTGCCATCTTGAGGTGATTTATTCAAATGTGTGTGGACCGATGCAAGTTAACTGGATTGGTGGTAATAGATATTTTATCACACATTGATGATAATAGTAGAAAATTATGAACATACCTAATAATGAGAAATGACGAGGTCTTTGAGGTGTTTAAGAAGTTCAAGTCGACGGTTGAAAGGCAAAGCGGTAAAAAAATTAAAGTTCTCAAAACAGATGGTGAAGGAGAATATGTATCAAATTATTTTGGGAGGTTTTGTGATCAATAAGGCATATTACATAAGGTGGTACTACCCTATATACCTTAAAAAATAATGTTGCCGAAAGAAATGATCGATCAATTATGAACATGGTGAGAAAGATATTGAAAGGGAAGAACTTGCTGAAAGAATTATGGGGAGAAGAGGTGTCCATAATTGCATATTTGTTGAATAGGTGTCCAAGAAAGAAACTATAGAAGATAACACCAAAAGAAGCCTTGTCCATATTGAAACCAAGCATGAGTCACTTTATAGTGTTTGGCTCAGTGGCATATCGATATGTGCCAGATCAACTTAGAAATAATCTTGATGACAAGAAAGAGCAAATGATACTTCTAAGATATCACTATACCAATAATTACAAGTTGTATGATGTAACAAATAAAATATTCGTGATAATCCAAGACGTCGTTTTCGACGAAATTAAAGATGTGCAGCAAAGTACAACCGGTTGGCATAAAAGTGCAACCAATTACACTAGTGAAAAGTTTGTTTCTGTAGTGCTAGAAAATAAAGAACTAGCCCCACTGAAGCCCGAATGGAAGAAAATGTTAGAAGGTCAACAAGGTAATGAGGTTTGCCTCCAAAATTTCAAGATTGTGAGATGTTCTAAGATAACAAAGTCAATGACAATGGTGATTCCGTCCATTTTGGACTCATGGAAGAATCCGAACCTGAACCCGTTAAAATGGAGGAGACTTTGAGTGATCCAAAATGGAGTTGTGCTATGAAGGAGGAGTTGGAATCTATTGAGTTCCACAATTCTTAAAAAGGACTGCTCATGCACCAAAGAAGGTATGCGCTTAAGATTTTGAAGAAGTTTGAAATTGAGCATTGTAATGCGTTACTCTAGCTGAACCAAGGTTGTAGTTGTCGAAGGATGAGGATGAGCAAGATGTTAGTCCAACTCATTATAGGAGGATGATTGGATCCTTGTGTTACTTGTGAAATACGTGGCTGGATTTGTCGCTTAATGTCAGTATTGTGAGTAGATTCATGGAGAAACCGAAGATATCTCACTTGATAGCAATCCAGAGGATTATAAGATACGTCAAAGGATCTATTGGTTATCAAAACTTTTCTTTCCCACAATGGACAAGCAGAAAATGCAATTTACTCGAATTTAGCGATAATTGTTGCGGAGATAAAGATGATAGAAAGTCTACAGTAGTGACACTTTTTTCTTGTGAGACCGAGTACATTGCAGTTTCGTTGTGTGTGTGTCAAGTTGTGTGGTTGAAGAATCTGTTGAAGGAGATACGCAGCGAAGTGGGTGAGGCTGTAGCGCTCATGGTTGATAATGTTTCCGCTATAAACCATGATAAGAACCCCACTGCACATGAGAGAAGAAAGCATATTAAGATGGAACTTTACTACTTGAAAGAAGTTGTTAGTGAAGGAATGTTGAGATTGGATTATTGTAGAAGTGAAGATCAAGTGGCCGATTTACTTAACAAAGGAGTCACAATTGAAGTGTTCAAGACATGGAAGAAGAACATAGAGATGAAAGACTTGGAAAACTTGAATTAAGGTGGTACATTAAGAGTTTTTTTTATAACTCAAGTGTTGTAACCGGTTAACACGGGTGTGTAATCGGTTACAGGTGTGAAAATAATTCAAATAAGCTGAAGAAAAGTGATTTTGGAGTTACGCATTCACAGTAACCGGTTTACCACTGTTAATATTTTTCAAAGTTGTAACAACTATAACCGGTTACTAGTTTTGAATAACCGATTACAGGTCCGAGAATTTTGAAATTATATTATTTGACTTATGTTGCTTGTGTCTCAATCCACTTGTATTGTTTGTGCAAATGCTTTGGAGACATCCTCATCAATGTTAATGAAAATAATACGTTCTTACCCTCAATTATCTCTCTAACTTCTCTTCTATCTCTCTCCCTAACTCTCCACATTTAAAACCCTCCATAGTGATTCCAAAGTTCTATCACATATGTCTTCAACATCACGACGTGGATCCCGTTCAATCCTTCTTTTCTCAAATGAATCCAAATTCTGTGAGACACAGAATCTTCACTGTACTTTTCCCCTGCTAGATTCTAAAATGTTGATATTGCTATTTATTTGCTCATTTCTTAACTAATACATTATTATTGATTTACACGTGAAGATGGCTCCACTAACTGAACTTCAATGTTGAACTTCAAACAAGTCCAATTGATAATTGATTGTAACTAACAAATCATTTACTTTGCTTATAGCAAAATTTCAACTCTCGTGATAAAGCAAACTACAACAATTACATATACTACAATAAATAGCATGACAAGACATACTACAGATGCAAAATGCTACCACTACATGTTGCAATATTAGATTTATCAGTTACTGCTACCCTGTCAATTTTGTACAAAGGATCAGGATCTGTTGCAGTAGACAAAACACGCAGTTGCACGCAGTTTTAGATCTCGGCCGTTAATATGTGATGAGCCGGTTAGTTTGAGATCAAACAGTAGAGATCGAAAACTGCGTGACACAGTTACTACCCCAAATCCAAATCACAAAAGAATACATAATAATTGATCGAACATTTGCAGATGGTTTTTCCCATAATGTTACAAAGTAATTTATTTTATCAGCTCCTTAGGTATGAGATATCGAAAAGTAAAGTTGTGTGGAATCCATTCTATGCTCTTCCCGGATTTCGCAAAGTGACATTTCTTAATACTCTTTCTCAGAGATTCAGGTAGAGACTGTTGGATCATCTCTATAAGACTGGCGTGGGACAAACCCGATTCCTTGGAGAATGAATCTACAATCTTGGGTACAAGTATTTTCTGGTCCTTCCGTACGCCAAACGTGGCTCTAATGTACTCTTCCTTTGCAACTTCTAGTTCTCGATGCACTCTCTTCGGTGTATATACACGTACCTGTCATAAATATGTTTGTACAATATCAACCAACTCAATCAGCCACAGTACAGACAGTATTGTTCCAACAAATATTGAGTATAGATTGAGAAGATAGCATCCAGTGTTTTAAAAATGGAGAAATCAAAAGCAAAAAAAAACTACATATACATATGAGAAATGCGATAAGTACCGCTGGATCAGAGTGGTTTCCTGAACAAAGTGCAAAGTGAAGAAGAGGCTCAGGCTGCTCGATTGCATATGCTTGTCGTCCATCTCCAGCTTTGAATTTTGTTCTCGAAGAAAAAAACACGCGGAACCACTGCATGAGAAACCAAGCTACTTAGAAGAAGAACGTCAAGCAATAAAAAATTCGAACTAAATACTATTTTAACCGGGAAGAGTTAGAATTGTAATATCCACCTGTCCAGGACGAGACATTCGGAAACCGAGTATTGTATTCTGTATTGTGTCGGCACTTACTGTATGACCTCCAACATTATATGCAGCCTGTAAAGCGCAATACATTATTGAGCAATATATCTAAAGCAGATAAACTCGGTTCCATACTCAAATTGACTAATAAAGATACAATTGGTTTTTTACCTTCAATAGAAGAAGGACCCTTTTGACATTGTTTTGTGGGATTCCATAAGCCAAGAAAGCCTATTAGAAACCAAAGAACAAATTCTAGACCAATTAATCAAGTGAGAGAAATGAAATGTAATAAAAGGGTAACATGGTTTTTGAGAATAACTATTACATGCATCACTAAAGCATTGTGTACGTTGATCCAGAAAGCTAACTTCTCATCGGGTTTCAACTTCCCCGGATCTACTTCTTCTAATTGACCAATAAGTGACCTGAAACAACATAGAAGTAGATGATTATTATAACCAACCCCCAAAGGTTGACCTGTTAGTGAAGGCTTAAGTCCTGAGAGTGTGCTCCTCTCAAGGTCTCAGATTTAAATCCTGTTAGGTGCTAACAATCATTGTGTTGGGGCAGCCTGCTCGAGCGACCTACCATTTATCAGTAAACTATAAGTCATACTGAACAATTAGATATTAATAAACGCACCTGAAATTCTGGAGCAATTGCTCTGTATTGCCTAACTTCTGATTCACTTTATAAATCCATGATACCTCAACCATGGTGCTATAAGGCCCACTAAATTCCTTGAGTCCTTCAACATGAAAAGGATTGTCCAACTCTACATCGAAAGACGAGTTATTTTTGAATCCTGGACTCCAGATGTCTCCTTGATCTCCAATAGAAAAGGCACTTGTTGAAGTACTGGGAGATGAAAGGCCGGGATTTGTTGCAGGAGCGTCTGAAAGTTTGTAATATATAGCTGATATACATTTAACCATATCCTCAGAGAGCCTATTAGCTGTTTCTGGAATATGATCAAATATTCTAGTACCGAGATGTTCTGCTAGACTGATTATTTTTGTTGAAGCATCAATGCTTTCGGCAAACTGCATACAAGTACAACAAATCAAGCCAAAATCAAAAGAAAGCCTACGAAAGTATCATTCTCGCTGATCTTAATGATATAGATACAAACAGAATGGTATGATTGCAGCAAAAACAAGTAAAGGAATTTTTCATGAAACAAGATTTACCTCCACCATGGACAAGGGTTGAGAATAACAGGCGCGTAAAGAATCGGTCAACGCTTCTTCTGGAGGGGATACTCTTGCTGAATATTGAGATAACGAGGAGTGACAACGATGAACACCAGAGTCTAAATGTTTTTCTTCTGGATAACGTACAATGCATTCGTTATCTGGAGTCTCGAGTCCATATTCATTACATTCTTTTTGAATAGTATCAACCTTGTGATCAATACATTGTACATCAGAACATCCTTTTATTGTTAAAGAAGGAGAAACTTCAAGGAATCTATCTCGAGGTGTTGTCAGAGGAGGAGACTTTTCACTTCCCTCCACGGTAGATGGAGCCACTGCTGGGGATAGTTGTTGTTCAAATGCTTTCCGGTATAAGGAGAGAAGATATTGTTCCAAATATACAACTTCTAACTCTAAAACTGCGATTTCTTTAATTAAATCTGTGGTTGGCTAGAGTACGAAAAAAACTCGTATCAGACAAAAGCATATTTGTGAACTTAAAAAAGAAGATTGTTAAAATTCATTGAAGAAATTCCAACCTTTGGTATTGTCATGTCATCTGGATTAACAAGAGATATAGGTCTATATCCAAGTGCCTTTTCTAATGTGCATCTAACCTTAAACTGGTCTTCTAATCTTTTCTCTAATTGTAAAATCTGCCACAAAATAGACATAGATAATTGGAAAACGTTGCAAAATCAAAATAACCGGTTGAACCAAACTGTAAAAAATGTGTATGCAAATTGAAATTTACAGTTCTGGTGATGTACCTCTTGCTTTAGAGTATTTTGAACATTATTCACAGGGGTTTGTTTTTTATTAGTTTCACTGCATTCCGTGACGTAACCTGCATCCTGAAACCAGATCAAACCCATACTTCAGGCATGAAAATTTTGCTAGCACGTCGATACCAGTAATAATTTGAAAAATGCAAGTAATAATCACATTTATTGGTATCAAACACCAGACACGTCTTTGTTCTGAAGTGTTTAAACATATCACATATATGATTAGTCGTGATTAATTGCTTGACTGTAAACTCACATTTATACGGAATCTACCTTTAAATTCACAAGTTAAGAAAACTAGAAAAAAGAAATAACAACATTGTAGACGAAATAGAAAAGTGATTTATTATACCAGCTTTGTTTGATCTGAAGTCTCAAAGCTATCTGAAATATACTCCTTGACTGTTTTCTTATCAGGAAAGCTGTCATATATAATATAAAAACAGTAAAACATAATTAATATACAACAAGTTAGAATATTCATTCATATAATAAAAACTGTATTTTAAGGTACCCTTTTCAAGAGTTATGAACCCTTCTCCACAAAATCCAAAAGGGTATACAAAGCTAGACCCAAAAGAAAAAAATTGAGCAAAATTGACATAAATGTGAAACCTTTATTTTCCATTTTCCAGAAAATCTACAAACCCCTCTTACATAAATTGCATAATCAAGATAAAAAAAAGACATAAAAGAACCTAACTTCAAGCAACAAATGAACCTAGAGCATCACCTCTTTGAACGATTATGCCTTGGAATCAAACCTTCAAGCCCCATTAGCAACACTTTCTTAACCAAAAATGTTAACTTTTCCACCAGAATCTTCACTAAACTTGACTTGTCATGTACTCTAGTAGCATTTCATAGAAGGAAAAAAATTCCCTTTTTCAGCACCAACAAAAGGATCAAGTTTCTTTGGTTACTTGCACATAATAATAGAGCTTAAAACTTAAACAGAACCATTAATGACAACAACAGAAAAACCAAACCAAACCCATTTGAGTAAAGAATGGGGCTTTTGACTAATGAGGCTTTTCTTTTTGACTAATACACCAATGATTATTGTTATATGCTTTGTGCTATGGTTCTAGGCTTTTGTAAAGGGTTGTTACCTTTTGGGATTTAGTGAGGGTAGAAACAATGATAGAGTAAGATAAATGTCAAAACATAGGACAAATGTGGAAAAGTCACACTGTAAAGGTTCTACAGAGATCCAAGGTCATTGCAGAAGAACAAGAAGATGGTGGCCTACTTCACTGTCTTCAATGATGACTATTTTAGGCTAATAATCTTAGTGGTATAACTTCAACTAATTTATTAACTACACTTCATTCAACACATATTCATATATTTGATTTATATATTCTTAGTATGTTTAATTTTTTACATTATCATAAAAAACAAACAACTATTTTGGTTATCCAAAATATATATACCCTACTGCCTTATTATTATTTGGAGTGGAAATATGTGAGATCTGTTTCGTGACAAAAGAATATTGAAAACATTTGTTAGAACGTTCTCTATTCTCGTCGGCAAGCAAGTGAGAGTTGGTGAGTGTCCTCCACCAATTGTCTCATTTTGCATCATAAGCCAATCTATTTTACCTAACAAATAAAGGATTGAAAAATGAAATAAATATCAGATAGTTACAAATTAGTTTGTTTTGGGTTGAAAAGAGATACATATATTTTCACCTTGCTTCAATGAGTTGTACCATTTTTTTGAATGGTAGGTACAATGGACTAATCTGTATATAGTGTTGAGAACATGGACGGACCCATGTAATTGGGTCTCTAGACAATGGCTTACAATTAGCTTAGGAAAAAACCATTTATGTTTTAAGATTGTCAAAGTTGAGTACACTTAATTAATATAAGAGATACAACATTGTTATACATAAACTTTTGGATTTTGTATAAAAGATTAATTGTTTTTATGCTATGAAACTAAAAATGTCAAAGCCAGATGATATAAAAATATGTTGATTGTTTGAGCATATTTTTATATAATTGATCAATTTATTTGAAGTGTCTTTGAGGATTATTTGTTCCACATTAAAACATTTATTCCTCACTCTCCTATCCGTGAAGAAACACACGTCAAATTCATATATACATGTTTTCATTTTATCCACTTGTATTTCAGAACATCTATTGCTCCAATTTTTATCTACTTTTATATGGCTCAATAAAAAAATTCACAAATTTTCTTTCCAAAGATTGTCTATCGCAATTGAACTATGATCACTTTTGATTAGATATTGAACGTAGTAAACCCAAACTTGGAAGCACCAAACTATACATATTATAGGGGAAAAAGGCTCCAAAACTTATTTGAACTCTTTCATGTTTTGAGTGATATATACTTGTCGTGTATAATCAAGGTGTATCATAACATCAAAAATAAAAAAAAAATAAAAAAGGTGTATCATGAAAATGGCATTCTATTTGCGTTGAGTCCCACTAGAGCACTAACATTTAACCAATAACGAGGAAACAAGTGACTAGGTAACAAAATATACCTTGTTACAAAGAAAGTAAAGCAACAATTTTACCTCAAAAGGAAAAAAAAGCTAAGGCATAAAGGTATTGTAGTCTTATAAAGTAGTAGAAGTTTTGTGATGTTTCTCTTTGTCTAAATGTTTTTGGTTGAATTAGGAGATATGCATATTTCTTTCAATATCAAAAAGAAAAGTAATGTAACGGTTGTCACATATTGTACTACAAATATACAAAATAAGTTAATCAATGAGACTTTATGTTGTACCAAAACCAATACAATAAGAAAATGATGGGAGTGTGGTAAGGTGGACAGTTATCTCTTTTTGTCGTTATGTAAAATTTCTGAGCAAAGAAAGTTCCTTCTTTTTCTGCATGCTTGCTGAGATTGAGAAAAAGTGAACCGAAAAAGGAAGGGAAAAGCTTAAGGAACAGCTGAAAAGCTTGATCTGAGAGGAAAATGACAAAGGGAAGTTCACATGTTCACATACACAATTATATATAATGATGGTCTTATCTTATACTAATGTTGTATTAAAATTTGTTGAAAATGAAAAGACGATGTAAATGTTCTGATAATTAAAATAATGGTTAGATAGTAGTTATTTGAAAATTCTCCTTCCTTGTTTTTAATCCTCAGTGTTATCTTCCACGTACACAAGTTGGTGTGGCAGCACAAGGAGCAATTTCTCAATGATTGTCCCATGAATGACATTGTTAGGTTATGTTATATTCCCAAATTTAAAGCACACAACAAAACACCCGTATAGAAACACGGATATCATAAATAAAGAAAACTACATGTTTGATGAAATCAAAATTAAAGTCAAAATCGTGATGAAGCTTAGAAATCATGATGAAACTAGAAAATAGTTCTCGCATTGAATTTTGTTTATAGAAATTAAACATCGTTTGATCAAATTAAATAAACAAGTTATTGTATTTATTGTCTTTACTTCATCTTCTTCTAACAAAGTTAAATTTTTGTATTATTGCATAAAGAGTTACTTTTATCAAATGTCATTTAGGATTATTGTCATTGGTTTCACATATCAATTTTTTGTGTGTAACTAGCAGGACACTCGTGCATCTGCACGGTTATTGGTCTGATACGCACGCTATTATTTTCAAAATGTAATCAAAGTGTAAATAAGAAAAACAAAATAGTTTTATCAGAACAATTTATTATTTTTAAAAGAAATACATATTTTTAAAATAAAAACTATATTATATCATTTTTTCAATTTTTAAAAGAAAGGCATCAATAATATATATTTTATTATTCATATATTATCTTTAAAATTATTGTATTTTAAATAAAAAAATTCAAAATAAAAATATTAGTGTTAGAAATATATTATACAATTAATACATATCAACTACGTAAAGACAAAGAATCAATTGTATCTCTTCATATGAAAATTATCATTAATTGTATAATATATTTCTAACACTAAAAAAATAAAATGTTGTATATTTTATTTCACGTGATTTCCATTACATATATACACGATTTCATTTACTGTATAAACTGAAAATGGATAAAAGAATATATGTATTGAAAGCCTTACCTATATTTGGCCTATAATAAAAAACCTATTAATACAATTGATAATAATTTTCAATTTGGTCTATAATAAAAAGCCTACTAATACAATTGATAACAATTCCAGAGATACAATTGATTATTTGCCTTTATGTCTTGATATGCATTAATTGTATAATATATTTCTAACACCTCCTTCAAGTTGGAGGTGGGATTGAAATCTCAAGAACACCCAACTTGCCAAGTAGTCGTTTATAAGAATCGCCTCCAAGAGGTTTAGTAAAAATGTTAGCTAGTTGGTCAAAAAAACGGAGATATAAAGGAGTGATAAGACTCAATTTAATTTTTTCACGAACAAAATGACAATCAATTTCAATGTTTGGTGCGTTCATGAAAAACTGGATTTTCGGCAATATGGATGGCAACTTGACTATCACAATAAAGTGTGATCGGTTGAGGGTGATCAATACCTAGATCAGAGAGAAGGCATTTTAACCATTGTAACATAGAAGATAAAGTTGCAAGGGAACGATATTCTGCTTCAGCACAAGAACGTGAAATTGTTGGTTGCTTCTTGGTTTTCCATGAAATTGGATTAGAACCTAACATGGTGAAATTGTTGGTGTAAGCCCTAGAGGCCAATACTTTTGGTACTTGTATCGAATTATTTATTAATAATAAAAGGAATTTCTTTATTATGTTTGCTTTTCAAAATAATAAAGTCCCTAGAATGGTTTATTGGTTTAATGAAATGTTAAGTGTGACTTAATCATGAGATCCCATTAAACATAAGAAACTATTCTTAAAGTATCCGTAGTCAAGCTTTAATGTGAAGTGGGATAACATTAAAGCATTAAGATTATTATGAAGATAGATTGATGATCACATCTCATGGATCATAGATAAGGAGTTATCAAGTCTTGACATAGGTATGAATATTAGGAGTAATATTTATACTGGATTGACCCGCTATGAGAATACTACATAGAATGTTATGCAAAATGTCATAAGTTATTCTCATGATGATAATGGTGTATACCACCCTTCGACCTGAAACCACTATGGACCCTAGATATAGAGTCAAGTACTTTATTGCTGATCAAACGTCATCCGTAACTGGATGTCTATAAAGACGGTTGATGGGTACTTCACAAAGCGTGCTAAGGGACATGAGTGACCTAGATGGAATTTGCTCATCCTGCATAACAGGATAAATGTCTAAGGGCCCGATATTGAACTGGACAAGGGTGACACAGTGTATGCCTTGTGTTCAATATAGACATGAGGGCAAAAGGGTAATTGTATAACACAAATATTATCACGGAAAAGGTTTGGTCAGATCACATGACATTTTCGTGACTTGGGTAACAGTGATGTGTTGCTAGATACCGCTCACTGTTTATTATAGTAAATGTGTGATTTAATATAATTGCCAACGTCGCGAAAACCTACAGGGTCACACACATAAGGACAGTTTGATGAGAGATAGAATAAATAAGGAATACCGTAAGGTACGGTGCACTTAAGTGTAATACGGAAAGTGGTAAGGTACCACGTGGATAAGTGATATATGGTACATCATAAGGTATGAAGTCCATAAGCTTAATTGGGCTTTTAGCTTATAGCCTTAATTGGGCTTTTAGCTTGTAGCCCACACGAGTGATTCTATAAATAGATCCCTTGTGATGAAGCAATTTCACTTGATGCAATTTCGTTTTTGATTCTCTCTC